GCTAAACTTAGTGGGATACAGGTTACACCAAAACACCACTTTAGATTTTCTTGTGTTCTATAGCTTAGAGAACGCTTCTCGCGAAAATTCGGGGTGGGAACTTAATTGGTTTATAATTATTCGCCCCCTTTTTTTTTCGCTACATTTTGCTATTGAATGGTGCCGTATACGATCTCACGGTCTGATGTCTCTAGAAACGCCCTTGCACTTAAAAGGGTTCTCCGGCGAAATTTTGATGGTGTCTGGTTTTAAATTTGGCGCAACACGTCAATAGACACGACTCAACTAGTACCCAAAATGTAGGTCAAACTATTTGTTATTCTAGATAGTAATAAATTTTGAAATTTCGTACACACTATTCTTTCTTTTTTTTTTTTTTATTATTCTGAACGACTCTGCTTGCCACAGGAAAAATGTGATGACTGATGTTGAAGTTTGAACAATACAGCTTGTTCCCAACGCTGGAAAAACTCACTCTATAGAGTCTAGCAGAATGAATAAGAAAATAAAGCCCGACATATCGTGTTTTGCGGTTGTCTTTTCGACCTGAAAGTTTTACAGCATGTAACGCCACCCTACTAGAACGCGCCGGGAAATATTTAGTGTTTGTATTGGCATCCACTTCATCTAAAGTTTTCTCTACCGAAATTTGAAGTCTAGAGGTAATAAAGATCATACCGGAAGACTAACGCCGGAGTATTGCAAAAACGTTCTTTAAGTGGCTAAAAAAAAAAAAAAAAAAGCAACGCTTTCAAACGTTTAATAAATAAATCATCACAACAACAACAGAAGAATGATTTAGCGATCCTTAAAGGTCGTACTTGCGAAGGTGCCTAGCGAATATTACATCCACAACAGCCTCGATTTTTTTTTATTTTTCTTATTTTACCCATTGTCGGTAGTACGTCTCTCGCGATACAAGCTGTCGTGTCCCTTTGATGAGAGAGTCGTTAGATGCACACGAGCGAATGGCTTCGTCACGATGTCGGCCCGATTCCCCGTGAAAAAGAAAGATCGTTTCGATTGCGCAGTCCGCGTTTGAAAGAGCAGTTTCGAACGCGAAGCTCGCTCAAATACGTTTTGCATTGCTCGTTTTCGCGCGAGTGTGCTGGCCAAAGCGAGCTGCAGGGTCTGGCGTCTCGGAAGCGCTGCAGGGGTCATTGTTACGAAACTGAGTCTTTGGACTGCAGAGTGGATGATTCCACCGAGTGAGCACTCGCTGTTCACACACGCGTCGAATGTGTTTTTGCGTTGTCTTGCGACGCGCTTGCAGGGAGGGGGTCGCGCGGGCGTTGCTGAACAAAAAAGCCGTTGCGTTTGCTCGCGTGTTCGTGTGTTTCGAGATTCCTAATGTCGTCGTTACGGTCAAACTATGCAACAGCGATGTCGGAAGCGTTCGGGATATGAGGGGGGGAGATTTTGCTTTTCCTCCCCCAAATCGTGTACTATATGAAAAAGAAAAAAAGTCGTTGTGCGTGGTGTTTAATTATTTTTCAACCAGGTCCCGTTGTCTCGCTCAGCATATACAATCTTCGACTAAGAATCATTTTACTACATGAAAGATGCTCACGAGAACAGACTATCGCGCGAGAGGCGGATGTGTTGAGACTCCAGACCGGGAGATGCACAAACGCAATGCCGGTATTTCGTACAAAACGGCAAAACAGGACGCCAGCCGTAGCGGTCGACGCGGAAACCGATGGTGTGACTCTCGCTTCAAGATCCGGTGTGGGCGTTTTTCCGTCACCGTATTCGCCGCTTTCGGGCGACGAATTCGACGCAATGCGACGCAATACAGTACGATGCAATGTTTACTTCTTTCCCTTTCGAAACTATACTACTTTGTAAAGTCCCGGATAAGCCAAACGCAAATGTGTGAGTCGACCTTAAAACGCAGTAAAGCGGCGATGTCGCGTTCGCACTAACAATGTCGCGCGGTGCATAATTACTTTTAGCTCTCGTAGCGTTTTCTTCGTTTGATCTTATGTACGCCTCATCGTATACGATACGGGTAGACACTGGGGAAGAGGGCGAGACGAGAGCGCGATGGAGATGAGTTGTTACCACACTCTTAGAAAAAAGAGTCAGTATAGCCCTCCCTAAAGGGAGGAACGCTCTTGACACATATGTTCCTTCAGAAAGGGAGAAACTTTCGTCCCTTAAGCAGGGGAGGAAAAGTTCCTCGTCGACTGCATCTCATTCTGGCGGCCACGAATCGAGCAAATCGAGCTCGGTAAGGCTTAACGAGAACACTAAGTCTATTGCACGAAGCGAGAGGAGCAGGAAATAAAAACGTAACACGAGCTTTCCGCGAACTGTATTTATTTCCGAAGTTTCTTTACCCCTGCAGGTAAAGAAACTTACGTTTCGAAAGCATGCAGTCACTCAGTCTTCTCATCGTCAGCACTGCGATGTTCAACGGAGACAACCGGCACTCAGTTCGCGCACTTTATGTCCTACCTTTGCTATTCCTCAAGCCACAATTCCTTCGTCAACCGTTGCGTCAACCGCACATCACGGAGGAGTGAAAACCATTCGCCCGCAAAACCAAAAGCCGCTCTCAAAAAAAAAGCAAATCCGAAGCAACCTCTTCGCTTATCTCAGCACGGTAACACGAAATTATGGCGTAGCCGCGTAGCGTAAAAGGATGTTAAATCGCTTGCCACCAGATGGCAGGGTCAAGCAGAGTAATCGCACGTAGCTAGGCTAGGTGGCGCTAGGTACCGCCCAATTCATGTTTTACAAAAAAATATTTTTATTTTTTTACGCCACAATTGCCTTCCTTTCCTACGGAATCTCTAACACATGTAGACACGTTGCGCACACTACAAACATCAGGTCAACATATAATGATCGCATACACAGGCATCGCACATACAAACATCAATACAACAACACACTATCCCGATCACTACTACCGAGCCCTGCGTTTCCGTCTTTTATAGTAGTCGTTTTGAACGTACGGAATTTTTCGGTGACTCCCTAAGCAAAAAAAAATATTCCGAACATGTTCATTTTTTTCCAGCAATGTCATACATCTGGGGCTATTTTAATGGCTCAAGGGATGAATCTCTTATTAAAAAGAAGACGCTTGATCATGCCATAATTATTTGAAAGCCAATAAATCGAGCCGCTCCAATGTGGTTCCAAGCCATGAGTTTGTTTTCCCGCACGGCCCTTCGTAGCCAGTATTTATATTGTGGTGTTCGTTTTTCTATTTGTGCTGTTCGCGCAAAGCTGCAACTGCCGTCTTGAATTAATCTCTCTAGAGCGGATATCCACTCAGCTGGAAGTGATGCTTCACGGGCACAGAAATCGCTTTTCGAACAACTTGAATGCAGTCAAAGCCGCGACTTGCGACAACTGTTAAGTGTACGGAGCTGCGCCGTTGCGAGCTCGAAAACTTCTAGCGCTCATCCCAGCGCGCCACTTAGAGGGCAGTTTCTACAGGAACCGTAATATATTTAAACAGTAAATTAAAGGATAGCGTTTTTTGTTTTTTTTTTTCGATTTTGCCTGTCTTTTTTTTTTATGCTAAACGTCCATTATAAATATACGTACTTTCCGTCATACTTTCGTAGTGTTGTCTTTTCCCCAGAGCGCAATCGCTCTCGGGGACCGAGTCACATTGGCCACTGTACGATAGGAGCTTACCGTTCAGACCAGCGTTCCAACATGACTATCCACACGCCGATCGACTGCACCTAATCCCTCAAGTGGTTTTAAACTCTTTAATGTAAAGCGGAATGTCATCCTGCGACACCCCGGCCCCTCCGATAACGGCCCGACCAGCGGCATCAATGCCCGACAGTTTACGTCTTCTCATCTTGTTGTTACAGCACTGATACGCGAACACACGGTCACATCGGCGATAATTCCAGTCTTCTGCTCACAACCCACAACACTGCCATCACAATGTCGCTGACACGAAGAAATACAGAACCACGTTGACGATGTTGCTGACACGCAGAAGAATCACGTTGAACGCCGGTTGGCACTCGGCACGGGACGACGGAACCGAACTCAGCGCGGAAGGCACCCAGGCAGCCGGCAGGAAAATCTGTCTTCCTTAGACGCAGTTCCCGCGATTTCCATAACGTCGAAAACGTCGACACAGTTCCTCGTGGTTTCACTGCTGTAGTTCCGCGTGTGTCCCGCAAATTGGAGACGGCCGTCTTACCCAGTGTATGTAGCGCTGCTGGCACTGCTCCGGAACTTCGCTGTTTCTAGCGGCTTCGTTAGCTCGTTTGATAAAATTAGTGGTAAAAACGTCAATGCAACCGAAATGTTCTGCACGTTTGGACTAGAAGACGGAATTACAGGCGGCCTTCGCTGCCGCTGAAGCTCAATCAACTCAACATTAATTTATTAAACAACGTGCGCGATGTGCTCGAAAAACGAAACCGAAAGAAGATGGGTCGGGAGGGCGAAAGCTTTCTCCGGTCTGCCTGGAGGAGGAAAACGTCTCGGAGAATAATAAGGACTTTAATTTTCCTTTCATCGGTCTGGGTTTGTTTATATGTGTTTTGGTAAACAAAAATAAAAAAAAAAAAACTTTACAAAAAAAAAAAAAAAAAAAAAAAACCATTTTTTGGGGGATGGAACCGTTGACCACTTGGTCAGTAGCCCGATGTTCTACCCCTGCGCCAACTGAACAAGGAGGAACTTGCCCTCCTCCTTTCATCTGAACTGCCGTTCCTCCCTTCTCTGGGCAACTTGTCCGCAGCAAGGAGGAACAGTCGCTTTTGCTACCTTTCTCCTCCCTTTTTTCTTAGAGTGCAAGAACGGGCCGCCATTTCGCCATACATGACGGTTAGTCCTAAAACATTGGCTTTTGGTTCGCACAGGTAGCGCTACATTTGGGCGAAAAAAGAGCGTTCAGCGTTTATTTTTGCGCAAAAAAAAAAAATATTTCTTTTTGTGGAAACGTATATTTTACGGGTGTGTTTGAGGAACGATAAAGCTCAAACTCAAACTTTTTTGTTTTGTTCTTTGGGCAGGCATGCCCATCCGGTGCAACAGCGAGGGCAACCTGTTGGAGGCCGTGGCCGAAGAGCGGGCCATCAACAAGATGACGCACCGGTCGCAGGACGACACCCAGGTGAGTGCGGAACGCCGTCACGAGGCCGTCAACCCCCGATGCCTCGCGTCCCCCATTGTGTTGGGGTGTTTGACGACGGAGGTGATCGGCGAACAATGCGTCGGCCTTGCATACAGAGCGCTCCGATGCTCGATGCTGACGAACAATCGTTCGTTGAGGAATGACTAATTATACAGCGTGAGCCAAATATATGGATTCAGCTTACTTCTAAATAAATCGCGAAAAGAGCGGTCACCAAGTGGGCTTCTGACGTATATTAAAGTCGGAGATTGAAGCCGCCGTCCTACTAATCGTAGATGAAACAAAAGATACCGCTCCAGACAGGATGACTGAATTATTCGTGGGCACACCTCAAGCTCGTTCATGTTTGCTTCATACGGATGTACTTCGAACGTGCCGATAGACACCTTTGTATGACTAACACGACATGGAACATGGAAGACCTCAGGGAGTGTCTGCACACTGTCTCATGCACGATGGCCTGGGAGCGGCTGGATAGATGTACACAGCGCGACACTGTTAGCGCGAACAAGCCGTCGCCGGTTTTTCCAGTTTTTCTCTTTGAAACCAAGGGATGTCACCCAAATTATTATTGGTACGGAAAGATCTCATTTAGTCCTATTATGTAAGCAATAAAAGTTCGTGCTCGCTAATACCATTGAGAAGTAAAAGGCGAAAATGCGCCGATGTCGTGTTCGCGCTAACAGTGTCGCGATGTGTATGTATGTACGGATGTTAATAGCCATACCCTTTGTAACGGACGGTAGCTTGCGCCACCTAGTTCAAGTCTAAGAGAACTAGGCCAGGCTTAAAGGAGCTGTGTAAAAATTTCAGTGCTTTGTTTAAATAATTTGGGAGTTGATGTCTCAACCTTTCCGAAGTAAAGAACAAAAAACCGCTTTGCCTCTTAGTTTTATCTTAAAAATGGGCAAAGGTTGAGGTTTTCGGCACCTCTCAACTCCTTCACCATCTTCCGAGTCACGTGCGCTGTGACGTCAAAGGCGGTGGCGCCGGGTTCCCGTGAAGTTTTCTCTCTAGAGCCATCAGTGAGCAGCGAGAGCTCATCGGCTCGCGACGGCGTATCCACGTGCTGGCGGGCGCAGCGCAAACAATACGGTGAAAGGGGTAAAGTCTCATCCGGGTCCGGCCATACCCGTGTGGCCCTGTCCCCCTCCCCCTCCGGCTTCTGGCGGCTGTTCGTGGTAGCTGATAGAGCTGACGGTTTTGTGGACCTAGGATAGATGGCGCCACTAAAACTCCGTATAATAACAGTTTTGTCGATGGTACCAGGTTTTTGACGCATTTATATTTATGTTGGAACGAGAAGATTGATAGAGAAGTTACTTTTATCGAGGAGGTATTCGCGCAACTTGCTATCTTTCTACAAGAGCTCCATTGACGTCATGCCGCGTGTTTCTCATGGCCGCCGCTCGCGGCTGCAGGTCGGGGAATATTCTAATTTTTGCCGCACGATTACGCGGCGGAATCGCAACATTTCGAAGGAAGGGGGTGTGTTTTCTGCCCTTTCTGACAAGGTGAACAATGTCAAAAGTAGAAGATGCCAATCCTTTCGACGTTAAAACCGTTGCACAGTTCATTTAAGAAACGCAGTGCACGGCGAGTCCCGTCACCCGAGCATCTCATTATCTATCCGCAGCCAGTGAGATTGCTGCATTTGCCGATGAGAACGCCGACGAACCAATTACGAAGCAAGAGGCTTGACCGTAGGGAGCCACGTCCTGCAAAAAAACAAACAAATAGCAACAACAACAACAATACAGAAAGCTTTGCGTAGCGCTTAAGGAGGTTTTGCGCATTATTCCTGCACTGCGCGAAGTAGTTCTCACAAGATTTCGTTGTCGAAGGAAACAACGACGCTTTTTGACGTTTGAAACGTGCACCCGTCTCGATAAAATGACATGAAGCTAATATTACAATTGAACGCACGACGAGAGAAATCCCAAACTTGCCGCAAAAAGCCAGTTTTTTTTTTATTTTTATTATTGCTGTTTTTGAGGTTTCCGTGACTTTTTAGAAGTGAAAAAAGCGCGTGCGCAGCTTTCATCGGCTATCGAGGTGTGCGAGCGCACGGGCACCTACATGACTTTGGCGTCATTGCCACAGAAAGTTGTCCCCGCGTAAACAACTTCCAAGCATGGAGATCGGCCTGCTTTCTGTCCGACTCGACCCGGAAACAAATGCCTGCGAGTTCTCTTCTTCCGATTTCCTCGTAAACGAAAAACAACAGCGTACGTCCTCTTTTGTCGCCGGTATCTATTTCGGACCGAGCTCCTCGGAAGCGTGACGGGAGTCACTGCGCGTGCCCCGACTCGCTCGTGCTTCTGCGTCTCTAATGACGCCCAGCTGTCACGAACCTCGGGGTCAAAAAGAGACGGACAGCTGGAAAGCATCTTCGTCGCCGCCGGAGAAACCGGATTTGGTCGGGCAGGCCGCTATCGCGGCACAGTGCCTGCCCTTGGCTTTTCTCCACATCTGGCGGTACGCAGGAAAAAGGCTGACAGTGCAGTGGAAGGTACGTGCTCACCGAACCAATCAACCGCATCCCTCCCCACGTCACGTGACCCCTTCCTCTGAGCCTGCGTATGGGCCGGAGTGGGGTCACCTTGTGAACGACAGACATACGACAGGTCCAATGAAGTTGTAGCTTCCACCGCACTGGCAGCTTGGGGGGGTGTACGTCCCTGCCTTCTCTGTATCTGCGGGTGCAGGGTGCGAGCGAGAAGCAGCAGCTTTGGGTCTTTGTTTTCCTTCGGTCGGGTGACTCAAGAAAGGGACGCCCGCCTCGCATTAGGGGCGGCGTTGACCGCTGAACTTTGTTCCTTGTTTCTTTTCTAAGTGGCCTTCTCAAGGCCGCCGGACTTGGTCTGTCTTTCTCGGTCTGTAAAAAAAATTCCCGGAGGGCGTTTTTTTTTTTTTTTTTTTTTGTTTACCTCTTCTTGGATGAGATACAATCCGGAAAAAAAAGTAGTGCGTCAAGGTTGATTATGAACAGAAAAAACTAGAGTGCCTTCATAGAAAAAGCAACAGCAACAATGACAGAAACCAGAATAGCAGCAGTAACAATACTAGCAGCGACATTAAAAACAAGAATAACACCTGCAGTAATAACTATTGTGGCAACAACAACAACAGCAACATCAAGAACAACATCAAGAATAACAACAACAAACAAACAAACAAAAACAACGGTAACAATGGTAATTAACCAATCCAAGCCAAACAGCTGTAATATTAAAAACAGCTGCAACAATAACAATAATAACAACAACAACATCAGCAACAACAAAACTTGGAGGGCTCTTAAGCTTCGCCTTTAAGAGTGGAACGCCATGCGTTACCGGGCTGCTTTTTTCATCGCCTTCTCATTCGCTTGTCGTGCTCTTCCTGCCACTGCCAGTGAGCAGCTAGTGCGGCGGAAAAGGCCTAGTGATTACCGCGTCTGGCTCGCAACGGAAGGGTCGTGGGTTTGAATGCCGCCTAAAATTTTTCAATTTTTTCTTTGAGGCAAATGAATTACGCTGTAAAGTGAAATTTTATGAGACATGCGGCGACCTTTAGTTTGCACTATGTGTTATGTTTTTTTTTAATCTCTTTCATTCCGCCCGTGACGTCACGTGTCCGGTGAGGGTTGTTTTTGAAATTCCCGCGCGAGGTCATGTGGTTTTGACGTCATGACCCTATCGACCAACCAGGATTTTCCCGTTACAACGCTGCAGCACCAACAGTTCAATCCAAACTAATGCAACAATAACAACAGCAGTAAGAACAATAACGATAACAGCAGCAACAATAACAAGAAAATATGAACTCACGAAAGGATAAAAAAGCATACAAACGTAGAGTACAAATCCGTCCTTTTTCTTTTTGTCTTTTTAAATTTCTTTATGTATTGTATTTAAGTCATCAACACGCGCGTTTTCTCTCGAGTAAGGCTCGGGTAACGAGAACAGCAATAGAATCAACAGAATGAGCAGCAACAACTACAAAAATATGTCCTTTATATAACGGAATGTCGGTTCATGATGCTATGTTTTTGCAAAGTTTAAGCCCATGGTTGAGTAGATGGTCGTAAACCTGATGCTGTTGCACACTTTCACGCACTAGTTAGTACAGCTGCTACGGATATTTTAGGATTTGGTACCTAAACTTTCATCGCCAACGTGATCGTATTGCCAAATCAAAGTTTAAAAACAAATTAGTTTCTCAATTAAGATTGATAATTTTGCGCAACGCTGTGTTAATAAAACATATCTTTGCATATGTGTGGGCATTATGTACTTGTTTGTAACCATTTTGTGCTTTACCGCTACCATTATCGGGCTTTTTGGTAAGCATGTAAAAGGAATGTTGAATTAATTAATTAATAAACGTACGTGACACCGTGTCATCACGTGCCACGGGGTATGCGCCGACTGCTTAGTTTGCAAAATAACACAGTAATCAAAGCAGAATTAAAAAAAAAAATACAATTAGCACATCGAAGAGAGAAAAAAGTAATACACGATTTGTAAATTTCGATCAAATCCAATCGGCTTTTTACAACGGCAGCAACCAGTAGACGTGGTAGAAGCAAGAAATTACAATATATTTAACGATATTTGTAATATTCGATTGAAACTGGAAAGTCAAAGGTTACTGCCGGCGAGATTTAACGTTTTATTTGATTTAAAGCAAATAACATTAAAATTATCAAGAATAAAAATGGCCAGTTTGATTCGGGGTTCTTACAAAGTGAATGACGTGTAAAGGAACGTATCATATTTAAATGTTTTTTTCAGAAAAAAAAAAAAAAAAAAAAAGTTCGTTTAGAAGAAAGAGTGTTTTGCGGGTTCTCTCGGAGAGCTTAATCGAGTTATGATGAAATGACCGCAAGCAATTGCAACCTAAGCTTTTTTTTTTTTTTTTTGATCCGACGCTTAGGTTAATTGTTTTCACCACGTGAGTACGATACTGGATTCGTGCTCTTTTGGGAATAGAAG